ACAACATACAATGTAAAGTTTAAAATATTTTAAAAGTTGAAGTGTTTTTTTATATTTTAAATTTGTACCAAATTTAAATTATAGTATTATTAATCTTGCCATAATTTTAAATATGGACTTAATTTTTCCATGATTAAATGACGGGACGGGTTGCAAGACGAGAAGGGTCACGTTGTAACATGCTTCCAACGAATTATATGACGGGATTGGTGGTATGAAGGGATTGGTGGTACGACGAGATTGGTTGTAGAGTACATATAAAGTTTAAATTATTAGAAATATTTTTAAAAAAATTAAAAGTTTTAGTGCTATTAATATTTTTAATATTCACCAATTTTAAACTAATGTATTCTTGACCTTGTCATAACAAACTGAATTAAATTTTGACGATTATATGACTCGACGAGATAAAAGACGGGACGGATTGTAATATGCTTATAAAAATTATATGATGGGACAAGTTTGAATTGATAATACTATAAAATTAAAATCTCACTAATCTCATATGTCAAAACGGGTAAAATATTTATACGTTAATATGTCAATACTATAAAATAAGAATTAGAAAAAACGTTTGCCCCGCGGTGTACCGCGGGTTAAAATCTAGTAGAATTGAATTTTATAACAGATGACTTTGACAGTCTAATTAAAATTTTCCAAAATTTTCATGATCGTGTAATAATTTATTCATATATGTATATGATATTTATATAGGTAATGATATAGTATCACCGTAAAGATAAACACTGCAAATTAATATTTTATAATAAAAAAGTTTTGTGATAATAGCAGGATGATCATGGTAATATTCTAATTGATATGGTGTTATATGTTAACGTGAAAGTAGAAGAAAATGATTTACGTTGATTGTCATAATAGAATTGTGAAATCTTAAGTTAACAGGTTGTTTTCTTATTGCTAGAATTTACACATGAAATCAGTTTAAAATCATTTCAAGTCAAAAGATTTGTAAAAGTCTATAAAAAATGAATAACAGAAGACTTTAATTAATGACTGTATATATGAGAACCAATAACACTTGATTTAAAACTCTTTTATTATAGACATTAGAAATATAAGCACCAATAACACTTGATTTCAAACTCTTTTAATGGAGAAATTATAAATATAAGAACCAATAACACTTGATTTGAGTAAAACATTTAAAATCAATGGTTGAATAACAATAGATATTGGTTAGAGTTAGACTCTATAAAAATCCACTGTCCAATAACACCCACTTAGAGATTCGAGATTATCGACTTTATTTTTATTAAAATAGTACAAAAATTTTGAAAAATTTGAAAATCTATACATAAACTTTAAAAAAAAAAGAAGAAATTCTTTTTATATTCCAAAAAATATTTTTTAATATATTAATTTATGAACCTAATTATATTGGGATTTTGTTTGTTAATATATATTAATTCAAAAAGAAGTAAATATTCTTTTCCCTTTTGAAAAAATAAATCGTAAATTTTTTAATATTTCTCTAAAATACCACAAAAATGGATATATTAGGACATTATAAATTTTATGAATTGTAACACTAGTCCTGCCATACAGGCTAAGACGACGTGTTAAAAATCGGATCTTGCCAAAATGTTTTCTTCAAACTTCACCCACGAACAAAAATATTGCATACAACTCCTGAAACAAAATAACCTGAGGATAAGAGAAAGTAAGGGGTGAGTAACTAATTACTCAGTGAGAAGATCCTTTCCGTCCACTGGAAAACTTTTTTCGATTATATGCTTAAATTTTTTCCCATCTCTATATTAGTAAAAGAGAAGTACGTTTAAGAATCGGGTCGGGTCAAATTAAAAAAAACAAACCCGAAATCATAAATTGGATATTTAGAGAATGGATAATCCGGGTATATTGTATACTGCCAGAGAAACATTATGGGCCATAAATGTTTAAAATTATATTGTTTCTATAACTGTCGAGTATCATTCCATATTTGTAGGTAACTATAATATAAATTTGGCAATTTGTAAAATCTTTATAAATACGTGAGAATAAATCATAACACATTTGTTAGGAAGAAAACCTTATCATCAATATTATACTTACCTGTTAAAAAATTAAAAAATTTCAATCAAATGAAATACATTACATACTCCTTTACAACTATTTCCTAATATATTTTTAAGATTGTGCAATCAAATATTACGATTACCTTAGTGATAAGAAAGACATATTACATCCTAATTAGTATTAAATAAATTAAAATGTAGCAAAAATATAAGATACTTAATATACTGTTCCACAATGTAACATATTAAAGATTGTTACGTACACGACGAGATTCTAAAACATACATGTTGTAGCTACTCGATAACATACTGGTTCTAAATTAGCACTTTGATATTTAAATAACTTATTTTTGTCTTTTTGAACAAATTTTAATCTTTGGTCATATAAAATGCAAACTATTGAAAATTTTAAACTTCATATATATAACCATTTAAAATGAAATTACTACCAAATATGTAAATGTTTTCTATACCATCAAAAAAGTAATCTCTTACATAGTTAAAAAAAAAAGAAAGTAATCTCTGATATACCATCAAAATGCTTAAAATCTGTTATAAGAACTTTTATATTTTGGTCATTTGTTTGTGAGTATACGAAATATGCAATATGTTCTGCAACTTATTTTAAGGAACACAAAGTCACAAACTGATCAATAATGATTGTCATGTTCAAGGGTTTTAATTTTAAACCAAAACTATATAATACAACATATTTGTTAACTTTCTTCAACCTTTAACTATTACAAAAATGGTCAAATTGAACTATATAATACAATATATTTGTTGTTGACAAAAATAATATAATATATTTGTTAATCTTCCTCAATTTCTAACTACTTTTTACATGCACTATTTAACCAAAAAAAAAAAAACAATACTAAAACATCTAACAACAATATCAACAATCCACTTTTTCATAATGTCATTTACATTAAACCCATAATGCAATATTTTACGGATTGGTCCTTCAAAACGGACACTGTGAATTAATGTTTTTGTATTACAAATGCATATTGGTTTTATGAAAACAATCTTTCACAAGTTAATCCCTTCAAAATATCTTGTGAGTTTTTATTTTCTAAAAATGTATATTTTTCTACAAATGTAATCTTTCACAAGTTGGTCCGTCCAAAAATTAACGTGAGTGTGAATGTATATTGCTTTTACGAATGAAATCGTTTATACATTAGTCCATGAATACACACACTATAAATGTACAGATTTTATAAATGTAACAATTTAGAATAATTTATGTATATTTTTATTTTATCATTACGATAGAATATTCCCCCGCGCTACGATAGAATATTCCCCCGCGCTGTAGCGCGGATCTTATTCTAGTAATAATTTTATTTTCCAAAACACCACAAAACTAAAACTAAAACTAAAACTAAAATTTTGAACATTTAAATCAAATTTCTAAATCTTTAACACTAAAACATACCCTGAAAAAACTTGCGGTATTGTTGGAAAAAAACAAACAAAAAATGTGGTATCCAAATGTATTTTCATTGTTAATTTTATTTATAAAATGTAAACATTCAACCCTATTAATGCATCTAATGAAAATTTAATAATATGAGAATTTTTTTTTTGGTTTACGCCGATGACATTAACAAACCAAAAATGGTGGATTAGCCTTAATATCATTCTATCATATAATGCAAACCCATAGTATTGTCAACATGATCCGGAACAGTCGAGATTGTAGATATGTATCCCTTATTACAGCTTCCTTTCTCTGTATAACAGTTTTCGAGGTCAACATATCGCATACTGTTTCGCTTTGGATCATAATAAAAGACACGTAACATGTTGAAAGAGAAGTGCCTGGACTCGACAAAAACAATCTCACCACCACGAGTAGCTCCCGAGATGAACCATCTTTGAAAACCCCACATCTCACAAAAGAAGCACTTGGACCAACCTTGTGTTTCCATAACCCAAATTTCCACGCCCATCTCGCAAGAGACGAGCCCTAACTTGCCTTTGTAGTTAACCAGAGTCGAATCGCGATGCAAATGCATCAGTAGTTTTGGAGCCTCTACTTGATTAATTTCCTCGGAGCCAACATCAAAACTCATAAGTTTGATATCTACAGGAAAAGGATAATCAATCTTCATAGTCGCTTCGCGGTAATAGATAGTACCATTGATGCAAACTACACCTAACAACATGGACTGTTCAGGTGGGATAACGTATTGTATGTTCCTCCAATGCTTAGCTGAGGGATCTCCCAATGTGAAAACTTGGCAACTCTCAACCCTACTAATTGCTGGTAGATACAATACTTTGTATTGATTCTTTCGAGGGTCGTATCCGAAGAAGAAATAGCCTCTATGCTTGGATTTCAACTCTGGTAAGTCAAAGGACTGCCTTGTGGTAGGGTTATATATAGCTACCATATAAGGACTATGACATTCTGACCAACAACAAATCAAGCCGCGGACAGATTGATGACATTGTCCAGGGAGTAATACTAATTCTTTGTCAGTAGACGACAAGGCTATGATACTTTTGTTTATACCGTAGCAGCTGGAGATGATATGGACATCACGCGGAGGCTGATTCAAAGAACGAATCAAGATTGAGTCTATCAAGTCTCTACGGCTGCTGATTATTGATGACCACAGCTTTGAGACACATCGGAAACTCACTAGAGATTTGGTCGGAAGTTTCTTGAGTATCTCCACGGTAAGATCATAAGGTATATCGATAACTCCACCGTGACGAAGTCGTGTTGGCGATGGTAAGGTCTCGTGGCTGTTCTTCTCTTCACGCCCTCTTTTCATCACCTCTGTTTTTGTATTCTATCCTATATAGATAAACTAGATAATAAGCAAGAACATGTTTATGATGAGTATTTTGATTTTAATAACATGTATATACTTACTTCCATTTAAAAAGGAAAAAGTTTTTAAAAGAAGAGAAATATGTAAAGTTTCCTTTCTTCTCTTACTTGTATATATATGTTAAATTGTTAATACCAATTTCATGAATGTTAAATACCAAGATTTCCACAAAACTATTGCAACGAAGCAGTCACGAAATTTGTTTGAATCATATACAAATAAAAAGAAAACTTACAACATGATTAAATATAGCATAGATTTTTTTATTTTATTGGAGCTAGGAGTACTAGTGTCCATATATAATAGTTTATTTTGGATTTTTATTGGCTTTGCAATGTTTTATTTTGTTGAGAAATTCTCATGGATAGCACATTTTAAGTTTTTTTCCATAAATATCACAATATAAAGTAAAGTAAACTGTTGCAAAACATATCTCATTCATGTTTAGTGTGTTACGAACTTACGATATATAGAACACAATTTTACGTAAAGTCGCAAGGGAAGTCTTGAAGTTATATTCTTCTTTCACTTATGTGAAAACATGTTTGTCTACTGATTTTCTAGTCTACTTATATAGGAGAGCTTCGACCAAAAAAGGAAACCAGCCGACGAATGTCTCTTGCAGTTTAAAAATAACACTTGCAGAATATTTAGGATTTCCAAATTGAGCACTCTAAAGATGATGCATCAAACTTTGGGTTTCCATAAGGATCTATGAGATACTGTTTCAAATATTATAAACCCTATTGCATCAACTTGGCATGCAGTATCTCGTAATTTGTATATTGCAATGTATTCTTTATTATTCTAAATTTTTATTATTTTTTTGAATTTTTTAAACCATATAATATCTTTATTATTAAGGAGAACGTAATGTTTTCTTTTTACTATTGCTTGCTTGGTACTCAAATGAGAGCGTTCTCAATAAGTCAGATTGTAATACGTCCTCCATGGGTAGATCAGATTCGATAAAGATACATATTTTGAGAGCTGATCATGGGAAGCTGCAAGTGTGGTATGGGAAAGGAAGTTAAAACAGGACTTGGGATTTACGTGTACGTCTATTTTATCTTCCTTATATATTTTCATGTAATTGAGAATTGAGATTTTCATGTTTTGTTTCTTAATAACTCTCTTTGTTATGGTTACGTACTTTATTACGTACTTTAGAACTTGGACATTAAGTTATCTCACTTAAGGACTTCGTAATCATATCATAGGGATTATATTCATCTGTAGTCTAATAACATATCAAAAGCAGTCGTTGAATGGTCATTTTTTTTAATTTAATAGTTTTCAAATAATTAGAGAATACAAAGGTACCATGAAGTTAAAAAGTATCGATTTCAAATTATTATTGTTACCGTTACGAATGCATAAGCTAATGAATGTTTGTTTTGTTGTCATTAGAGCCGTTACAAATACGGCGTAGTTTAGATGCGTGTGTTTGTTTATTTAGAAACCCAAATGTCTCTATTTATATATAACGAAAAAGTAAAGTCTTTTAACTAATTAGGGTTTTTGATTTTTTTTCCCAATCTCCGCTCCTTCCTCGGCTCCTCCATCTCCGATTAAATTCGATTGATCGGTGAGTTTCTTCACCGCCGACGAAACCACCGCAGCAGGTCCTTCTCTGATCTCTTTGTTCATTGCAATCTCACGATTGTGAGTTTTTGGTTTTGAATTTCACAATAATCTCGTGATTTACGATGAAAGGGCTTTTATCTTTGGTCTAATTAGGTCTTCCTTTCTTCATGTCGACGCTCCATCTCCGATCAAATCCGCTTAATCGGAGAGTTTCTACAACACCGCGTCTTACGCCGACGGAACCACCACATCTTACGCCGACGGAACCACCGCATCTTACGCCGACGGAACCACCGCATCAGGTCCTTTTCTCACGACTATGAGTTTTTGGTTTTAAATTCCACAAGAATCTCGTGATTTTTGAAGTCTTGTTCAATTCGTATTCTTACGATAAAAGGGTTTTTTCTTTTCTTTTGTCTAATTAGGTCTTCCTTTCTTCATGTCTACGCTCCTCAGCTTCTACATCTCCGTTCAATTCCGCTTTACTAGAGAGATTCTACACCTCCGGATCTGACAACAACCTCTACGGATCTGATTCGTCGACAAAATCCTTTACCAGCAAGGTCTTGACCTTTCTTTTCTTTTCTAATCTCTTCCGTTGCAAATCTCATGAGAATCTGGTGGTTTTGTAAGTTGAATTTGTTTAGTCTTATTCAAATTATGCCTTATCATTGGTTGAAAACGTTGTGTTTGCTTGATGATTATTAGGTTCATGGTTAGGATTTTTTTGGGTGTTATCAGAAAATAGAACAACTTAAGAAAAATCCAATATATATACCCATTGTTCGTCATGCTTTAATTTGATATGTATCATGGTTCTGTTGCTTAATTTTGTGACTTTAATGTCAGAAAGCTAGCCTTTTAATTTCAGGACATATGTTTTTGTTCTCTTAGATCATGGTTAGGAGTTTTGGGTCTTCCACTGTTGATTTTACTAAATTTGTATATATTATGTTACAAAGTTAGCTCTCTTGAAAACATGTGTTTGTTTTTTCTGTGTGTGTTATGCATCTTTTCGTTGTGATATACCTGAAAAATGGTTCTTAGTTTACATTAATATTGTTGTAGTTTTAAATTATTATACAACGTGCTGCATATAGAGAGAAACACTCTTGTGCTAATTAACTGTCGAGTCAAACTAATTTTCACAACTTGAGATAGATAGACTCAGATGATCTCTTGGACTTGACATTTAAACAGGCTACTGTTGGACCATGCAATACATTGAAATGAGGAGGCAGAGTACATGGGAAAGGTTAGATTCTGTATACTTATCTATAGTCTAGCATTTAATTTATTCATTTAGCATTGGCTGTTTTATGTTTTAGTGCTCGAGTTGTGAATCATAAAGAACTGAAATCTTGTAAAAGTGTGTTTCTCATGTTTAATTATTAATTTCCAGATTCTTGTCATCGTCTTGCTTCTCAATAGGTTCAGACATAAATTCTATTTTCTCTTGAGTAACATAAACCTGATTTCTTTTCAATCGTTTGGTTGTTATCACAGAAATTTTAGAAGTGTTAATCTATTGAAATGTCTCAACTCGGATTTAAGGCTCTTGTTAAAATGAGTATATAAGTCAGATATGGGTTGATGGTAGTGCATACAATGAGGTAATTTAAATTACCTCTTTACCAGTCCCGTGGTGTTGCCTATTCAAATGCCTCGGCTCGGTTTTAGACTCTTCTTTATTGATGAGTCCACAAACCAGAAAATGGATTGATGATGAAGCGTGATTGAGAAACTGTCCCTTGTTGCCTATTCAAATGTCTCAGCTCGGGTTAAGACTTGTTGAGATGGGCTAAAAATCAGAAATGGGTTGATGGTAGTGCATGCAATGAGGTAATTTAAATTACCTCTTTACAAGTCCCTTGGTGTTGCCTATTCAAATGCCTCGGCTCGGTTTTAGACTCGTCTTTAATGATGAGTCTACAAACCAGAAAATGGATTGATGATGGTGCGTTAGTGAGAAACTGTCCCTTGTTGCCTATTCAAATGCCTCAGCTCGGGTTATGACCCTTGTTGTGATGAGCTATAAATCAGAAATGGGTTGATGGTAGTGCATGCAATGAGGTAATTTAAATTACTTCTTTTCCAGTCCTGTGGTGTTGACAAATGCCTCGGCTCGGTTTTAGACTCGTCTTTAATGAGGAGTCAACAAACCAGAAAATGGATTGATGATGTAGCGTGAGTGAGAAACTGTCCCTTGTTGCCTATTCAAATGCCTCGGCTCGGGTTATGACCCTTGTTATGATGAGCTATAAATCAGAAATGGGATGATGGTAGTGCATGCAATGAGGTAATTGAAATTGCCTCTTTACTAGCCCCGTGTTGTCTATTCAAATGCCTCGGCTCGGTTTTAGATCGTCTTTAATGATGAGTCTACAAACCAGAAAATGGATTGATGATGTAGCGTTAGTGAGAAACTGTCCCTTGTTGCCTATTCAAATGCCTCGGCTCGGGTTATGACCCTTGTTATGATGGGCTATAAATCAGAAATGGGATGATGGTAGTGCATGCAATGAGGTTTAGAAGTCCCTTGGTGTTGCCTATTCAAATGCCTCGGCTCGGTTTTAGACTCATCTTATGATGTATCTACAAACCAGAAAATGGATTGACGATGGTGCGTAAGTGAGAAACTGCCCCTTGTTGTTTATTCAAATGCCTCAGCTCAGCTTAAATTATGTGACATGTTGTTTCTCGGTTCTAGGATTAAGGTAATGTGCTCATTTTAATTTTTTGTTATCGTATTATACATTATTGGAGGTAAGTTAAAGTATAATTTATATAGTAATGTCTACAACGATATTGGTTTCTTATGACAATTATTTAAATTTGCAGGGTGATAGAGATTGATCTCGATATTGTTTGTCAGATTGGTTGATCGTGTTGAAAAATTAGAAGTAAGCATTCTTTTGCTATCTCTTTCTTCATTTCATATGTTTTGATTTTTGTCAGTGGTTTGTTTCCAAAGCCATAGCACATACTGATTACGCCTTATAATTTGCCCTCGTTGTATAATTGTATGCAGAAAATAAGAAAAATAGTAGAATTGTCACAATTTTGCAGGTTTGAAGTAGATTGATCACTTGGAGCAATAAGAATCACAATCAATTCTCCCTCAGGTTGGTTTATTGATCATAATGATTGTTGGTTGTTGTATGTGTCTCTGAGAAGAAGTTACTTGGTCGGTTTTGTGAACTATGACTGATTATATTGCTGACTTTTTTTACTGCAAGCCTACCAGGTTATGTGACCTATAATGAGGTATTGAATTCTAGTGATTCAAGACTCTTGAAGCTTACAAAAAGTAAACTCAGTACGTTTAAGATTAGGTGTTTGCAAGCTGGTTGTTGTCATGTGTGTTCTTCTTTTGATCGAGAAAACTTAATCAATCTTAAACTGAAACTTGCTTGCAGAAACATCATGGTCCAGGGACATATGGTCTAACTATATATGACCCTTAACCAAAATGAGATATCATCCCTTTGGTTTTGTTTCATTTACTTTCTCAGGTCTTTGAAAGAAGACATGATATAAGCATTTCTAGATGCATTAAGTCTCTTAGATTATTTGACTTATCTTTTTCTTTTGCTTTTTTACAATTGAAAAGGGAGCTAAAAACTTACAATATATCTGATTTGGTATGCTCAGAGTCTCCAATGTTCTAAGTGAAAAGTAGGAGACTCTGAGCTACTAGCTCACTGCCTAGCCTTCTATATGCAGGCCGTGAATGGTCTTCAAAAACCCAACATGAACACAATGTTTTTTTCTGACAATTTGATTTTCAAAACGTTTTCATCCAAAAACTATTTGAGTTTTTTTTTTTCCTAAATAAAACCCAATTGGGTCTCGAAGTTAAAAGTTAAAACATTGTGTTAAATTAAATCGGAATCTTTTCTTATTTGGCCAAATTTTAGTGTTAAAAGGTAAAAAAATTGAAAGTTTAAAAAATGAAAGTTTTAAAACATTTTCTTAATTGTTTTTTGGAACACATCTTAATTGTTTTAAAATGAAAGTTTTCCCAAAAGGTGTTTTATTGTAAATAGATTTTCTTAAAAATCAGCTTTAAAAATGTCGAGAGAGAAATATTTGGGAGATTCTAATGTACATGATGTTGTCGTTTATTCGAATGAAGTTTTCTTAAACCGAGTAATGTGAACAAAATGGATATTGATTAATTCGGTTAAGTTTGGTTTTTAACATTAAAGTATTATTTGAACAAAATGGATATTGATTAATTCGGTTAAGTTTGGTTTTCAACATTAATTAATTTTATCTTTCGGTTCAATAAAAATGACTGTTGGTGATTTTTAATGAAAAGCGGATTGTTTTTTAAGTTGAATGTGTGATGTGCTTACTTCTACACTTTAAAGAATGCGTGTCAACAACACTTGAATGTGTTTTCTTTTGATAGTGTATAATTTTTGTTTGCAATGCTTGTGTTCTTTTAATGTATGCAATTGTTGATGAATGAGTCTGTCTCATGTTTTACTTCTGATCATTTGATCTAATCATGGTATAGGTCTCTAGTTCCTATATAGTTTGTGTATCTTTACCAGCCATACCAATCGCAAAATGAACAGGGTTTCCTTGCCAAAGTTCACCACAAGTGTTGTAACATTGTTCTTCACTAACAATGGTTCCAAATGCTCGTTCATCCTCTGTCTTATCGCAGCGTCTCTGATCTTCATACTTGTAGTGTACATCGGTCTATCCCCTTGTACAACAACAAACAGTGTCTTGTTCCTATTCACAGACTCATAGATCACTCTTCAAAAAGCTATACTGTTTCCCTCAGAGAACCCGTATCTGTCGGAATATAAACGAAATGAACCGAACCCATATCATAAGAATAGTAAAGGTTCCGACTTTGAGGTCCCTTAACCATACCAATGGTTTCCGATGAATTTCCAGGCATATTGAACTTAACACTATATGGTACACCACATTAACCACCACTATCTTTACCATAAACATAAGCAGTTCAATCTGGTTTCCAAGGATGCATTGGCCAATCATACTCATGATTACCAATACACACATGGTATGGTGTATTGGTAACCAACAACGGTTTGGGTTTCCATTTCTTAGATACACACTTGAGTTTCAATAGAGACTCCACTGATACTTTCTTGAAGATACTTTCTCAGACTCCACTGATACTTTCTCGAAGATGAACCCTACAACATCGTGAGGTAGCAAAAACTGCACAACACTCGAGCCATGATAGATTTTCAACATTGTCTTCTTCTTCTTCTGGCATCTAAATATTGTTAAGCTAGCCAAGTCATTTCACTACGAAATCAAACTCTTTTGAGCTTATTATTATATGACACTGTGTTGGGAAACAAGGAATATCTAAGGAACCACATGGAACCAAACCCAATAACCTATGTCAGTAGCAAAGGCTATTGCATCACCAAGGAAACTGGTAAGTTACTCTTGAACACACAACAACAGAAACTTGCATCAGTCTTCACTTCATTCTCTGTTTGGTTTGTTGTGTAACACAACAGAGGTTCTTCTAACCCAAAGTAACCCCATTGCCGGAGCGAGTCGAAATCACAGAAGTTGGTGAAGCTATAGCTATGGAGGAATGAAATGAATCAAAATCTCAAATCTCTGATTCTTTTATATTTGATAGTTTTTGTTCGTTGTTTGACAAAAACAGTACAAATTCGAAGGTTTTAATAAGTATTCAATAAATGGGCTTAACAACAATGGAGAAAAGGCCCATTCAAATCAAAGTCTTTCATTGTAAAGACTAAAATACCCTTACATGTTTAGTATTGGGGAAGAAGAAAACTCTCGTCTCTCTTTGTACTTTTCTCTTCTCTTCTTCTCTTGTTTTCGATTCGAGCAAACAAACAATTCATCAAGGTACTGTAAAATTACTACTACTCTTCTCAAGCTGAGTTTTTTTGTTGTCTCTTCCTTCGTCATTCTCGCTCTACTTTATCTTGAACACTCTCTTACTTAATTCTGGTGATTCTCATTCTCATTCGATTTTAAGGTTTTTGATTTGCTCTTAATTGGGTTTTACTTTCCGATGTGATTCTTAGTTTTCATATGACTGTCTCTTTGATATTGAAGAAAGTAATTATGCTGCAACCCTAATCTCAAATTTGTTTTGACGATTCTGCAGAACTAGTTCGCTTTCTGGGTAATCGTTTCTGATGCTAAATTGCTTTTCTTTGTTTGTAATTGTAGAGTTTTCAAATTGAAAAATGTCGCAAACAGCCGTAGATGTGCCGCCAAAGGGTGGGTTCAGCTTCGATCTGTGTAAGAGAAATGATATGCTTACACAAAAGGGTCTTAAAGCTCCGTCCTTTTTGAAGACTGGAACAACCATCGTTGGTTTGATTTTCAAGGTTTACTTTTTATTCTCCCATTGTTTGGTTTATAGAGATTGCATAGAGTAATAGTTTGATATGGGCATGGGAACTGTTTTGTGCTTAGTCTTAGGAAAAATGAGCTGAGACTTAATATGCACTGACTTTAGTATTGTGGAAGTTTCAGATTAGATCTTTGTAGAATTCATTAGTCAAGAAGTTGAAGCCTAATCAGTTTTGCAAGCATACAACGACTAGATTGCTCTAATTATGTGATTGTTTACTTAATCCTGTAAAGAAAATTCGGGTCTTTATTCATTTCCTTATGTTAGATCCTTTTCCAAGTTCTCATTTACAAGTAGGTTTTGCGTACTGCAAATGTGGATGTGGTGGTTCTTATTATCAACTCTCTGCCTCTTCGTATAGTTTAGAGATCAGTAGGTTTTGCATACTGAAAATGCGGTGGTTCTTGTTATTTAGCTCTCTGTCTCTTTGTATAGTTTAGAGAATAGTATTCAAATCTGTGAAGATGTTTGTGTTCTTGCTCTTACTGTTGTCTTTTGGATTCATTTTAGTAAATGACTTGGGGAAGCTATGTAACGCTGATTTCAATATTTGGGTTTGTATAGGATGGTGTGATACTAGGGGCAGATACCCGAGCAACTGAGGGACCTATTGTTGCTGACAAGAACTGTGAGAAGATTCACTATATGGCACCAAACATATATTGTTGTGGTGCAGGAACTGCGGCTGACACTGAAGCAGTTACTGGTATTTACTCTCTAGCTTCAGTGCGGCATAATTTTCGTTTTCTCTGTTAGAGATATCAGAATCTAATTGACATAATGTGTTGCTCCATAAAATCAATGCTTAGTTATCTTGGTTTCATACTCATTGTCCAGATATGGTCAGCTCACAACTGCGGTTGCATCGTTACCAGACCGGTCGAGACTCTCGGGTCATTACTGCTTTAACTCTTCTCAAAAAACATCTTTTCAGGTAAATTTGTTCTTATCTCATCCAGAACCTCGTTTTAAAGAAACATAGATAACTTAACTGCTTAAGTTTCATTTCAGCTATCAAGGTCATGTCTCTGCTGCACTTGTGCTCGGTGGAGTTGATATCACTGGGCCTCATCTTCATACTGTAAGTTTTAATTCCCGGATGCTTTCTCCTGAGAAGAGATTTTTTGTTTTTTATTGTTATTCATATCACATTTGACTATTTGTCTTATACGCAGATATACCCACATGGTTCAACTGACACTCTTCCATTCGCTACAATGGGTTCTGGTTCTCTTGCAGCTATGTCTGTGTTTGAGGCAAAGTACAAAGAAGGCCTAACTGTAAGTAAGCGAAAATATTCATCTTTCTGTTTCCAGATACATTGTTTTCTTCTGTCTGATTAGTTTCTTGTTACAAAATCCTCTAAGAGGGATGAGGGAATTAAGTTGGTCGCTGAAGCCATATGCTCGGGTATATTCAATGACCTTGGTAGTGGTAGTAACGTGGACATCTGCGTGATAACAAAGGTTTGTCTTCATCCTGCTGTAACAAGTACCTTTGATTTATGTACAAAACTCCCTTTGGTCAGCATATAAGACTCATAGTTTATGATCTCATAGTCATAGACATTAGACATTACAGTGACCAAGTAAATCACCAACAAACCCACAATAAAACCTAACTTTTAGCACTGCCATTAGATTACTGTAAAACGTCCTCTCCATTTGGTTTAATGCAATCCTATAACCTCTGTTCACAATGTACACATTACGCTGGCCAAGTTATTCACCACCAAATAAAACTCTTTTGCATTAGATCTGTATATTTTGTTGCTTTTGGAGCTTAGTAATTTGACACGGTTGTCACTGTGTTGGCAAACAGGGGAACAAGGAATATCTGAGGAATTACATGGAACCAAACCCAAGAACCTATGTCAGCAGCAAAGGCTATTCTTTCACAAAGAAAACCGGTAAGTTACGCTTTGAACACACAACAAAGAAACTAATATCGACAGCCTCGGTTGAATCCAGTTATAATCCTCGGTTTTTTTCTAACTTCATCTTGTTGGTTTATTGTGTGACAGAGGTTCTTCTCACCAAAATCACCCCATTGCTGGAGCGAGTCGAGATTACAGAAGTTGGTGAAGCCATGGAGGAATGAATAAACAATTCTCAAATATCTACCTCTGCATTTATCTACACTATAGGCTCTTTGTACTCTCATGATATCATC